GCCGTGGCCGCCGAGACGCCAGAAGACCTTCTTGCGCTTACCGCGGCCGACTGTTCCGGGCTGGGCCCGTCCGCGTACAAGCGGTTGGTGCCAGCATCTCGTCGGTTGCGCCGGTTGACCATGAAGGCCGCGCGGCAAATAGACGACGACGGGTTCAAGGCCATAGCTGGAATGCCTTCGCTTCAACACCTTGACATGGAAGGCATGGCTGATGTMACATCCGACGGCCTGCTCAGCGGTAAGTTGAACGTTATTTTATTCAAGTGGACACTAATACACRCTGTTATGATTTGGGTGGTGGAAGTAGAGTAAGCACCTCATAATTTAATTATTATGAGTCTCACAACGATCAGACATATGATATTATTATCATATTATCACAATAATTATATAGGTTTAGGTTTGAAAACGTTTGATGTTCTGTATGTAATAAAATACAATATCTAATCTCTAGAGTAGGTTTACAGGTTATAAGAGTAGAGTACCCTGCAGTAAACAAACTAATTTACAACAACATGTTATGTAATTAGGGGTGGTTCTGGTAATAATAAAAATCATTTGAGGTATTTGTTAAAAATTGATATACGTCAAAGAATTGTTTGACGTAAGCTAATTGGGAACAATTTAATGTATAAATAATGACTTTACCTCTGTAAATAATAATTATAAAATAAATTTCGTATGGACACGATTAATTACGCAGTAGTTTTAATAAGGAAACAAAACTATATACACATAATTTTGGCCTTTTGGAATATTATGGGTGGGATGTATACATCATCCGATTGGAATGTGATCATCAGAAGTGTGCCTGTACCGAAACATGCGTCATTTGATCGTTATGGGTTCTATCGTGAGCCGGTATCGATATAAGTTCCGATGGGGGGGGGGTGAGAGACGAAGAACTTATATCACTCAAGAAAAATAATATGAATTTAAAATTTAATAAATATTAATATGATAATAATATTACCTAATTACCTAGTTGCTTAATTAATTAAATCATAATATATCATACAAATGTTACTTACATTAATTATCTCAACATATGTTATATACCTATTGAGATAACACTAAAACTTAATTTAGCATTTTATAATAATTTATTTAGCTCTGCTTCTATAAATTTTAGGTACTTATTGGAATAGGATCTAATAACCTTTGCCTTTGTATTAGAAGAGCCCAATGCGAAGACCCATATTCAGATAGGACATACTAGAGCTAGCGAGAGCACTTATTAATTTATCAAACTTTTAATTTAATAATTATTTTGAACATGGAATATTTTGCGTTAAATAAGCATTTAAAAAATATTGAGTTGAATTGAATATCTGGGCTTATAGAACAATTTTAATTATTTTAACTACCATTTCTGTGTTAAATTAATTAATATAGACTTTTTTTTAAATATTTTGATAWCATTTAATTTAAATTACTATTGGACTTTAGCTTCCTTACAACTATACAACTATACGAKTCTCTTCTTTTTCTTTCAATGGTGGTTAGTACGTTGGGTTGCTACACATTAATGACAAAACAGTTTATTCATAGACGTGAGTCATAAATATGCCAAAGTCATCGCGATTTAACGAGTTTGGATGTATAGTACAAATCATGTTGATAAGGMTAATTAGCCCAAAAGTTAAGGCGATTAGCTTATACTAAAAATGGTCGGTTTCATACTGAATTCTCACCCACCTAYGAGTACAAGGGTATTTATAACATTAAACTCTGTTCTTAACTTTAAGAGAAAGCACACAATTTGGAATAATGTTGAGTGTCATGATTTTACACGGGTAATCGTGAATCGACGACATGACATACTATAAGACATAATATCTGATACCAAATAATGACACAAAATTTCATTTTTTTTTTTTTTTCATTACTTTAATGCTATTATCGTTATTAAACTAATTACAATATAATTATTAAGTGATTCAACAAGACGGAAAATAGCCACGGTAGATTAAAATTATTAAACCCACGTTAATTTTTTGAATTTACTTTTAAAATAAATTCTWGAGGTATGCTGACGCTGGATATAAGTGAAATGTTTATTAATATTTAAATTTTKTTAATTGCATTTTAACTTGTAATCTACGGCCGTCCGAAATTAAAACAGAATAAATACATTTAAACAAATTCAGTCTTTAAAAAAAATCGTAGAATTTATTGGTATTGCAATATGATTTTTTTCAACGATTTCCAAATAATTATGATATTAATTATTTTATTATTATGCATCGACGCGAAAGACACGAGATACGCGATTGTCTGCACTTATCCATACAGTTTTTTCCCTATAGTCTGTCTAAGTCATTGTGTTACAATTATATTTTTATCATGCATGAATCAATAATAATCGCGTTATAAGCCACTCAAACATTGAAAATCGGCTTAAATTTATAAATATAAATATGATTAATATGTATAACATTTTGTTTTGTTTAAAAACACATATTTGAAATATGACTGGTACGAATGTGGCATATTATTATCACCATAATTAACTAGAGTGCCCAACYGAATTTCAAAAATGCATTAGAAATTTGAATACAGAATCACAGTATCTAAAGTGCTACTATTAGATCTCGGAGAAAATGTTCTACACAATATTAAATGCATAGTCTGAAAATAGTCATGAGCCTATTACCCGTATTTATAGTTCAAATTATGTTGTAAATCGTTTTTCACTGTTCTCTTTCCAATAAAAAAGCAGTGGACTCGCCACTACAAAACGCATAATAATATCATGCAACAATATTGCAATATTTTAGTAGAATTGATTGATCAAAAGCCGGACTAGGTGTTTCAAGATCGAAAAATAGTATTTTCAGAAAAACTTATATATATATATATATATATTATTATATTGGGTGGTGTTCAATCAGGATTATGTGAAAAACAAAAACTAGACAATCGAATAAAGGCCATTACAAATCGATTTCAACAAACCCGGAACCAAGTRGGATGCACGTTACGAGTACATCTTTGTGTCCTTTTATATAGGTCGTATATTTTTTGTATGCTTAAGCGAAGTATGTATTATTATCGTGACTTCAAAGGAATCGTAAAACTGCACAGACAGTTGTCCTCCATATTCTTTTCGTATGCTCTAGAGAAAGTACAATAGACTTCTGTAATCTATATATTTATAATATTATTGGCTATTTCGTGAATAATATCCATCCTGAACATAATAACCGATTTCTAAAGCACTATTTTATATAATAATAATATATTACGTACATACAATCGTAAATTAAGTTTGTTTCASGAAATTTTCTTCATGTCCGATAGGATATTTCAATTTATATTATGATTTTTGTACTTAATGACATCGATTTTTTTCGCAATGTTTTGTACGATTATTAAAATAATATATTATATTATTATTCTACTCCATTGATAACTTTACTGTGAACAATAAAATTGGTTTCTGCTATTGTACTGAATCACAGTAATTTAAGAATAGGTACTCTGCATATCTATCAGAGTCTGAAATAATATATATTTTTTTTAAATACACACGGGGTTATTATAGTTACTTTTTAAAATAAAAAAGATGGTATTTTTTATAAATTTATATTTAAAAACATAAATAGGTACCTAAATGAAAATTTATTCAGTTATAAATTGGGATAAGTACATTGTTAATTTTTGTATTAAATGTAATATATAATATGTTATAGAAATTGAGTGACTTAGAGAAATTAGTTTAAAATAACACTAATGAGTGCGTATCTTCTAGTAATACATTTTATGATTCAAACAAAACAAACAACTACGGTGTATTATGTATAGTTGATTTGCAAATCGTTTTTCTGATTAAAATTGATTGGTTCATTCAACGTCTGATACACGAAATATCAATGTCTATACGAATATTTTTAATGATGCACGCGTTTTAACGGTGTWTTTCGAAATTTTCCTCAGACTTTTAGATTATAATATAATATGCAAATCAATGTGGTGCATTAAGTAGGATAGTATATTCTTATAATTAATATTATATTATAAATTTGAGTGTATCGATATACGTAGGTATATCAATTTAATATTGAGCGTTTTAAGGATTTACACGTGTGGTGTACCTGCAGCGATACGTACCAACGCGTATCGGACCCAGACTTTGATACGATTCGGTGCGTATAAATATTTCGATACGTATCAAATTTTTTCTCATTGAAAACCRTTGAATGTTACGGTCGCGTTAATAATATTATATTAAATATTATTGATGGACATTACAATATTGGTTTATTCGTCCCACAGGTCTTGTGAGCGCCGTCGGACTACAATCACTGGGCCTGGCCGACTGTCCGTACGTGACGGACGATGTTCTACGCCGGATCAGTGAGATGAGACAGCTGCGTAACCTCCGGCTGGACCTGACCGACTGCGACAAGACGACGGCGGCCGGCGTGACAGACATGCTGTCCGGCTGCGAACGACTACGCGAGCTGGACCTGACGCTGCCGTTGAATGCCGACTACGTGGCCGCAGCCGCGTCTGCAAGCCACCTGGACCAGCTCCGGACGTTCCGGCTGACATTCGAGCGGCTATCGTTTCAAGACCACCTGGATGACCAGCCGACTGACCCCGATTGGCAAAGTTCGTTGGCCGCTGGTTTCCGCGACGATGTCGAGTTCAGTGTCCGGCAGATGTTCACCAAGATCACCGTGACGGTCGACTGACTGGTTGTGCGTAWTAGTTGATCACAATGATCGTGGCATCATCACCATCGTTTATCTAAGCTCACCATTTATTCCCATACTACGTAGATATCGTGATGATTGGCGCGCGCGCGTACACACACACACGCACACATCTAAGGTTGGCTCTATATGGTCATCGAAAACTATTGTAATTTGTAAATAATACACACTCATTAATACATAATATAATATATATTTTAATAATGTTATCCATATTTTATTATATTAATCATATACTCCTATACATATTTTAATATTGTCATGTTATTATTATTCATTATATACTATTTATAATATATCTATCGAATAATCAACAAAAATATTTTTATCAATTTAGATATTATTATTCATCTATTTCTCGTTTGTTATTCTTTATAATATATCTATCGAATAATCAACAAAAATATTTTTATCAATTTAGATATTATTATTCATCTATTTCTCGTTTGTTATTCTTTATAATATATCTATCGAAACTAGTCAAAAATTAGTTATTATCAATATTTTTTTTGTTTAACTTGTTTCATTTTTTTTTCATTTGAAAATAATTGTAAATACCTATTATAGCCTTAATGATTGGTTTTTTGTTTGTTTGTTTGTTATGAAATATATTTTGATTCCTGTACAACCACATTTCGTTCCATTAACATCGGTTGATCGAACACCGATGAAATAATAATAATAGTATGTACTTGCATAATATTATGGTAATATTATAATATTATAATATTATAATATGCTCGTATTGCGAAGTTATTGTCTATCGGTCTGTACTCGAAAACTATGAACAACTTTAGTACCTAAGACCTCGTTGTTGTTATACGACGAGTTCAATAATTATTAAATTTTTAATTACATCATTTAACCAGCAAGAAGTAAAGAACCTAGTCTCCCCCTATTCATTGTGCTTCATTGCTATTCGATAAAAGTGATAATTTTACAATAACATGACAATTTCAAAAAAATTTGACCTAAAAAAGATATATAATGTAATAATATGGTATACGTATTTTTATATTTTAACTTGTTAAAATGCATGTGAATTTTTTATTATTATATCTATCTGTCCATATTATTATACTACACCCTGTTAACTTGGTGTAAAATATTTTTTTGAACATGTTATGGATAGGTCTTGTATAAATCGTGTAATAATATTATATATTATTATAAAATCATATATATATATATATATGTGTGTGTGTGTGTTGTTACTTGCAACAAGACGTCTTTCAGATTATAGAATCGACGGGTATTTATCACCAAATAAACACGTATGACGTATAACGACATGAATATTATAAACTTAGTTCTCTCCTGTCGTACCGGACGCAATATTGTCGGTCAGATATTTGCTGCAACTACCAACGTCACTGTAGACTACATTTTGCAGCACAACCAGCTGAAYTCGTTTTCCGGTTAAGTCAACTCGATTTTCAAGCCATCCCTTTTCAACTTCACTTCCGTCCCAACGGCAGTTATTCCAAATGCTTGTTAGTTTAACACACACAAAACAAAACTATCAAGTAAATAATGTATTACAGCTTATGTCGGGAGCAAGCTTATGTAAAGATTTGTCGGTAAATGTCACAAATTACAATTATTCGTGGGTTTGGTAATGTAAAAATGTTACG